TCCCTCCCCAATTACTTTGCTGACTGCAGTGGAGCAGTGGGGTTTTCTGAGGCGGTGTTTGCTGTACATTGGTCTGTGTGCACGAGTCTGAATAAACCAATAAAAATATGAAATACATGCCTGAATAACTAGCCCCTTGATACTTCCCAATCACTAATTGCTTAGGGGGTATTGCCGGAATATGGCACATACAGGAGTGTCTGCGTAATAAATAATGAAGGCGAAGTAGAAACTGATGCACTGCTATTGACTCATCTATTATTTACCGATGCAGAGAATGTATTATAATGTTAAAGGTGAGGGTCGAACTGGGTGGTGAACAACAATTATTTATTTTTGGTTCAAAATGAGAATTTATTACATTTGCTGGCGGTAAATGTGCAGCCAATGATACTTTTTGTGTGTCAAACAGAGGGGAGGTTTGCAAATGTGTCTCCCTAATGAATTCAGTTCCCTTTGTGCTTGACTGTCAGGCTGATCGGTAGGATCACAGCAGGATATGAGAGCATTATTATCATGTCTCTGCAGGGCAAAGCTAAATTATCACCCAGTGTCTTCATATGGCTGCCTAACTGCTGTCCAATCATGCACAGCCATCTGCTGGACCTGGGCTCTTCGCTGTTCAGCTGAATCCACAAAAAGAGATAGTATATCATAATGTGTCCAAAAAGGCTTCACGCTACTCCAGGCCTTCATTTACATTGAGCCTATTAAAAAAAAGCCTTTCTCTACAATTTTATTTTCCGTTTGCTTTCAGAGTATTTTCAGAATGAAATCTCAAACCTTTGTTAATTCCCTCCTTCAACTGCTCATGCACTTATACGTGGAAAAAAATTAAAATTGAGTGCAAATCAATGCAATTACCAGTGTTTTTGTTGTTTTTAAAATTTCACTTAATAATAGTCAACTCATTGAGATATTAAAGCAAAATGTGAACAGGTGAAACACAGGAAGTGGGCTATGAGTTTATAAAAACATTTATATTGTGTGTAAAAATGCAGAGAAACCACTTATAGTGGTAAAAAACACACTAGTTATTGGCCACCAGAGTACTAATTGTACTTTAAAATGTCAGCAACAGGCTTTTCCCTAGTATTTGACCATCCTGATACCAGTGATGATCACTTTGAGATTTCTATGTATAGTTTTGAAAATTCCCATTAAGCTTCATCAACTCCTTCTATGAGGAATGTGAGTCAAAACTGTGAGTGTTTACTGACTGCATCAGACACGTTTCATCATTTATGACTGTATGTGTGGGAGTTCCTATCCCTCTCTTTGTGTTTGTCTTTTATTTGATTATTAGATTCCTTCTCCATCTCCACTCAACGCTGTTATTTTTTCCATGTCAAACCAGCGTCTTTGAATTTCTCGTTATCGCTTCCACATGGTCCTCCTTTCATGACAACGTGGCAGCCACGCACGCTAACAATGGGCCTTAATTTGATTTCATTTTTGATTTGCTCCAATCACTTCAGTTATGACAGAAGCTGTGCTGGAAAGCGCGACGGTGCCAGGAAGGAAACGCTATCAAAAGGCTGAAATTAGATGATTAGGCAGGAGAGGGAGAAAAAACACAAAACAGTCTTCTCATTAGTTAGACCCAAGAGGAACCGAGAATGATAATGAAGGACAGAAAAAAGTGCAGTTGATGACAGCTCTGAACATTTAGGAAAGTCAATATTTATTTATTTTGAATTTGATTGTGAAATAAGTCTAAAGGAAATCATGCCAGCTGTGTGTTACTTTACTTTAAGCCTACACACTTAATTATTAGAACAGTTGTAATAAAACATGGAACCGATTAAAATTGCACTTCTTTATAAAATGGTGTCAGGTCTGTCTGTTTCCTTTTCCTGCTATCTGCTGTGTGGGGTAATCTGTGTGATCACACTCTTCTGTCTGTAATTAGCCTCACTCGTGTCACCTGGTGATCCCTGTATATATACCTCTCTCCCTCACGCTGGCCTTGTTGGATCATTGTAATTGATTCAGGTGTAAGTTAGTGACTGTCTTTGTGAGCGCTGTATCCTTTGTGCCAGCGTTGTGTCGAGCTTTTTGTTGTAGCTGTTCCTAGTTGGTTCCTGAGCAAGTCTGTTGCTGTGCTCAACTCTGTTTGTGTTCTCAACTCTGCTCGACTTTGTCTGTGCTGCTGTCCTGGTTTTTGGAATTTTGAATCTTCAAATAAACTACCTGCACCAGTACTGCATTTGGGTCCTGCCTGCTTCCTGCCATGTTGATGCCCGCATGTGACAAATGGCTTTTGTTCTTTTACTATTTATTTGCTTTTTTGTTGCTAATGTCCCTATTATGTGAAATAAAACGGCATGCGTTTGCTTAGATAAATAATTAATTCAGTAACATCTCACACACATTTCTGCTCTTTTCCTTTAGAAAAAGTAATGAGTGGAAAAACTTCAGACTGGCTTATTTTAGATTTTGTTTCTTAGATTCCATGGACTCACACAGTCATTTGAACTGCCCCTGCAGAATCAACTGCCCTTTTCCTCCCTGCTCCTCCCCCTCTTCCTTATTTTTGGCCGATATCATGAGTATCGGCTGTAAGACATTCACTCGCTTCTTGCCTTGGAGTGCTGGTATTTACAGTGCCTTACCATCCAGTTGTACTGGAACTCTGTCTGAGACTCTGCTCACCTGCCGCGGTAATGTAAGCAGCCTCATTACAGAGATTGCCACACTGTGTTGATGCGGTGTGTGTGTGTATATACAATACATGCTCCTTAGCCTTATGCTGTAGGCATTGTGAGCCCCTGAGCAGTGTGTGTGTGTGTGTGTGAATCAAGCTAAACTTTGGCTACCCTGTGGGAGGTGGAATTGCTCCAAAAACAGCAGAACCAAATGTCCAGGGCCAATGTGAAAGGACAAGTGGAAGAGTGCCAGACAACTTTCCTCGACGAATTTTCCTCTCCCTTTGTCTGGCTAATTACCATACACCGGTACAGATCTGGATACACCGCAGTGTCCAAGGTAATAGCCTTAGCTTTAGCAAATAAACCTCGCATTTTTATTGTAGTTGTAGTGCAAACCCAGACATTTACAAAAATGATAGTGAAGACTTTAAATGAAGAGAAAAGTTGCAGTTGTACAATCTTACAATTATGGTGTAGCTGTCAGTATTCCTGCTTTTCATCCAGGTGGCGTGGGTTAATCTCCAGAGTGTTTGAATAACTAGCAGACTTACTATAACTTTAAGACAAACTACAGTGAACCCATCGATGACAAAGTCTTGTGTAGACGAGCTATAAAATTCATATAAACTTAAAGCACAATAACTATATCAAGTACAATCCAATACTGCGAGAACTGTGCTGAGGTGTAGCGCATCCAACCATCCATTTTGATCCGCTTATTCGTTACCGGATTGCGGGGGCAGCAGTCTCTATGACTGCCACTCAAATCACACTGCACCGTACCAACCCCCCTGAACCTTCCTGCGGGCGGTGAGTCCACTGGAAGGTACACTATATTACCAAAAGTATTGGCTCACCTGCCTTGACTCATACTATGAACTGAAGTGCCATCCCATTCCTAACCCAGAGTCCAATATGATGTCGGTCCACCTTTTGCAGCTACTACAGCTTCAACTCTTCTGGGAAGACTGTCCACAAGGTTGAGGAGAGTGTTTATAGGAATTTTTGGCCATTCTTCCAAAAGCGCATTGGTGAGGTCACACACTGATGTTGGTCGAGAAGGCCTGGCTCTCAGTCTCCGCTCTAATTCATCCCAAAGGTGTTCTA